GGATTTACCTGACTCTCCCCCTGCGTTTACCTGGTTCTCCGCCTCCCGCTTTACCTGGTTCGCCCGCTCCCGCATTTACCAGGTTCTCCTCCTCCCGCATTTACCTGGTTCTCCCCTCCCCGCTTTACTTGGTTCTCCCCCGCTCGGATTTACCTGACTCTCCCCCAGCGTTTACCTGGTTCTCCCCCTCCCGCTTTACCTGGTTCGCCCGCTCCCGCATTTACCAGGTTCTCCCCCTCCCGCATTTACCAGGTTCTCCCCCTCCCGCGTTTACCTGGCTCTCCTCGCCAGCCGACTAGCAGCAGCATCGGCACGCTGTACACTCCCGTTGAAGCCAGCGACAGCAATGGATTGACGGCGTTGCCCAGTCCCGAGTTCTGCATGTAGACGAGACCGTGGCGCCCCGTGGCGATGTGGTATCCCGCCGCCAGCGCCACCGCGCTGCCCTCGTTGCACGTGATGACGTGGTTGGATTGGGCAACCTTACTAGTCACGTACGCGCAGAAATCCTGGAACATTGGAATAAGGAGGACAACGTTAGACAACAATACCAGAGCCGTAGGCTGAGCAAATTCCTAGGGGGGGGGGGGGTTAGTGGCCGATCCAGGATTTAAAGGAGAGGTAAGAAACAGGTAGGGGGTTCCTGCCACAGAAAACTTTGAAAATGTAGATCGCAGGAGATGGTATTTGAAGCACTTTTGAATACATGTACAGCCTTCATTCTGACTACGACAATTCTCTTTTAGTAGAACAATTTATTTTGTTAATTTTGCTCTAAAATCTAGGTGGGCAGCTGCCCCCCTTGCCCCCCCCGCAGGCTATACGGCCCTGAATACGTCGTTGAACGGTTGCGGAAACGTGCTCGCAGAAAAACGATTATTTTTGGAACGCGGTAGCACTCACTTCTTCACAACACTCACTACTTGAGTCTACTTCATCCACATGCTATACCAGCGTCGCAATACATTCCGCAATTCTTATACATACTCCTATTACTGGTAGTTTTGCAGGGCGAAGACTGTTATAGAAATCACAGCAAAGGAGCTGCGTAGGGCCAATGCTCCATGGAACAATAGCGGCCAAAAATGGCTTATGTGCCATGTAACCGTTAATATTAATATTATATTTGGATATTTTCCTGTTACCATTCGCTAGGAATTTTATTGACGGGCACATTTTTGTTACGTAGACGAACAAATAGTTAAATCGCCGTCGGAGTGGTGCGCTACAATTTTCTATAGCACGGATATTACGCTGCCTGGCAACGTACGAATTATCAAAAATGAACGGCGAGAGTTTTGGGTACAGACTACTATAGTCACGAAAGGGCTCATATATGTTGATGATACAGAATATTTAATAGATATTTAAAAAAAATCGGGGTTTAGCATCATATGCTCGTCCGCTTGGCAATAATTCGGGGAAAGGCGGTCAAAGGTAGGCCTACACAGCAAATATAATTAGCGCATATACTGAGAACATATCCTACATACACTGCATGAGAACATAAATAATTATACTGAGCACATATAATGAGCAGATGCACTGTCAGTTACTCATTATTAGTTGTTAATATAGTTTGTGTTCTCTTGATGCACTCTTATGTTTATTTTCACTTTATCTGTGTTACGCTATAATACGCTCGCCGAACCAGTCATAAAATCAATGGGTCACTGTAAATAGTACTAGCAAAAATCTTTTCTCGACACAATGATCTACGAAAATTATCATGTTCGATAATTGCAATCGCGCGCCGTACTCAGAGTGCCGCGGTCATCTACATGCGACGTCGCGCACGACATCGCACATCGGTGTTATATAATTGCCGTCGTGTCGTGTCGTGTGTTTTTAATCTATTCTAAACCACGACGTCACCATTTTTCAACCACGACGTCACCTTTTTTTCAACCACGACGTCACCAATTTTTAACTACGACGCTTCGCTTTTTAACCACGACGTTGACCCTCTTCAACCACGCTGTCACTCTTATTTTAAAACCTCATAGTCGCCATTTTAGCCACCTCATCGCACTTTTAACCACGACGTCGCCGTTCATAAACTTTGCAGAACATGGAATCAAAGGGGCCACGTTCCAATTATTCAATAATTTAAGTTGTCCAGAAACTTATTTTTGTATTATTTTCAGTTACTTTAGAAACAATCTTATCAACTAAGAATTTGGGGATGTATTTAGCGCAATTGCAATCACAATCAGAAGTGAATAAAAACAAATATGTGTGTTTATTTTCTCGTGATGTAATTTTCTGATTAACGATTTTTTTTTAACCAATATACTTCTTGCAAAAATGGTGACATACGATCGCGTAATGTATACGTCACGGCCATTTGTTACCTTGAGCAGGGAGTCGGGAACCCCGCAGAAGAATTCGACGCCGATGCTGCGCACTGCTTCGAAGAAGCGAGCCGGATCGAGGAAGTCTCGTACCAGCTCATCCGGAATGAGCATACTCCGCTCCTTCTCCACCACCACTGCCGCCGAGGCTACTTCTTCTGCCTCCGGCACCGCCTCAGCGTCACCTCGCGCGAGGACGCTGCACGTATGCAGGGGACGGCAACTCGGCGACACGCCGGCCGTACAGGCGGCCCGCAGGAGAGGGGAGCGGCGGGGACGGAGTGCATGCCGACAGGCGACGGTCGGCAGCGACGCGAGCTGCAGCATTAGTCTACGAGACATGACGACGACGACGGCGGCGGCCCGCTCCTGTAGCAGATATGTCGTGAGCTGCAATAAGCCAGTTCGTAGTTAGCCAAGGGTTTGTTTGCCGTCACAGATCACCGGGTCATTTGTGACAAAAATCGATGAAATCTCGAGTGCGGCGTGCGCTCTCGGTTCAGTACGTATATGTACTACATAATCTATATTCTGTGTACGTGTACACGCACGCATGTGTACGTGCACACACACGCACGCACGTACGCACGCACGTGTACATGCACGCACGCACGCACGTGTACGTGCATACGCGCGCACGTGTACGTGCATACGCGCGCACGTGTACGTGCATACGCGCGCACGTGTACGTGTACACGCACGCACGCACTCACTCTTACGTGCACACGCACGCACGCACGCACGCACGCACGTGTATGTGCACACGCACACACGCACGCACGCACGCACGCACGTGTACGTGCACACGCACACACGCACGCACGTTCGCACGCACGCACGCACGAATAAAAAAAATATTAAGAAAATGTTTTTTTTAAATAGAAAAAAAATCCCAACGTGATATCGATCGGTGAATGCATTGATTTGACTTTGAAGTCATTATGTGGGCTGTTATAAGTATAAAACAAATATTGTTAAAATACAAAAAAATTGATAAAAACAGATTTGCCTGCCTACCGTGTCCAATTTTTTTCAGCTCGTTAGCGGAAACAAACGTCTTTTTTTAGGCCTAAGTCTAAACCTCGCACTAGCGGAACACTGGCATCAGCTGTTAACCAATTTACGGTCAGCGGCTGGACGGATAAACTACGCTGCTTGGTACCACCAACGGAATAACGCCAGGTTGTCACTTGGCAACGAAAACGAGGCTACCTCTGATGAGCAACGTGGGTGATATAAAGAATAGGGGTTGGGGGCGTCCATTCGCAGTTTCTAAGGTAAACTAAATATTTTATTTACCAGTTCCTAGTTAAATAAAATCGCAATTCAGGTTCTTCCCGTGTTTCGCCCCGAATTCTATTACCGAATCACGAAAATGTGATATTTTGTCTTCGTAGACAATTAAATTTGTCGAACGCTGTGTCGCGAAACTAACCGTCCCCCCTTCTAAAAATAGTGCTCTTACCTCGTTAGCAGGTATCAATCTCCCCTTTAGAGAAATAACATCAGCTGCATACAGATCTTATTTGAGATCATAACACACTCACACAGACACTCCTGCTGAGGAAAGTTCAGGCGAAACAGCAACACATTACACGACTGCTGCGAGTGCATGTCGTGGCCAGGTCTAGTCTGGTACATTTTGACTGGTGCAGTTCAAAGTCCGAGTCTGTGTGTTACAAACCTACAATCATAGTTCGGCACCGCGTCATTTCGTGAGTGTATTGTTGTACGCCTCTCGCATCCTGTTGTCAAGTAATAGGCCTACACTTGGCTCGCTTGCGACCAAACCAGTAGCGAGCTGCTTTGCTGTTGTTACATCTGCATACTGTCAAGAGCGTATAAAGAAGGAGTGAGAGCTCGAGAGCTCGAGTGAGAGAGAGAGAGAGAGAGTGAGAGAGAGAGAGAGAGAGAGAGAGAGAGAGAGAGAGAGAGAGAGAGAGAGAGAGAGAGAGAGAGAGAGAGAGAGAGAGAGAGAGAGAGAGAGAGAGAGAGA